CAGACATTGCAAAGCTCGCGGAGTCGACGCATGTGCCCCCTAGAGGGAGGGCACGCCTCAGTTCGTGAAGGTGCGTATGTTAGTCAGGAAATGAAGTCGCGCCAGCTCCATAGGGGCTCCTGTGGGAAGACCCCTCATCGATAACGCTGATTGTGTGCAAAAGCATCAGGACAAAGGGCTCTGCCGCTCACAACAAACTAGCACCTAGTCCAGCTCATCCTAATTGGCCGTGTAGTATACAACCAGCTCCGGATACATTTGGGCATTCTCAAACACAATCACCTCGTGGAATTGCCCAGAGGGTGTCGCGACAACAGAGTCATACCTGAAGAAAATTCAATGGCAGATGCAACAAGTCAGATCAGGTGGTGGACAGAGGTACTTTGCTGAGGGCAACATGCAACAGATGGTCGATTTTGGTCCGACGCACCGCTCGTTGTTGGGCGCACTGGGCAGGAGCGGTGGCGCCAGCGCCCCAGAAGGAGGTGATGGATGGACATGGGCATGGCCCAGGAGTGCTCGCGTGATGACAAGCATTCGTTCGCCGTTGGGATCGGCACGAGCGTACTGATGACTCTGAAATCATGTAAGCACATTGCGTCAGCACACCAGCGCTCAAATAAACAGGCGAAATTGAAAGCCAGCGTTGCCATACCTTGCCGGGATGGTCCGCCAAGTAAACACCGAGACCAAAGCGGTGGCCGGCACTGTTGCCAGCAAAACGCTGGTCAAGGCCAAGGCGCACAATCTTGTCGCGCAGAGATCTGTCCGGGGCGATGCCGTGGAGCAACAGGCGCTCTTGACAGGATGCATCGCGAAGCAGAGCTGGAGAGCCCGAGGGTGCATCTGATGTGGCCGCTTGGAGTTGATCATAGTGCTCCTGACTTTTGATACGATGCAACATCTCTCGTCGCTTGGCGCTGTAGCGCTCCCACAGCACGGGGTTGTGCACGCGCTCCACTCGTTGCACTGCGATATTCGCTGGTCCCCGCCCATCGGTGTTCAGCCGCTTCAGTAGCTCACCCACCTAGCCATTCAGTAGATTCAAATCAGACGACTTGCGGAAGAGTAAATTAAAAAAAAAAAAAATAAAAATGC